TCTCGCTTTGCGACGTCCATCTGATTTGACGTCAAATACCCAGCGACATTTTATGACTTTACGCCCTTTAGGGCGGTCAACCAAGTCGAAGACTCTGCGCCGACGAAGTGCATCCAATTCTTCGTGGCAAGCAGCTCTCCATTCCTTCTGCTTCTCTGGTGGTAAGCGAAGGATATCGCGGTACGTCCATTCTCTGACATTGGACGTGTCTGGATCATCTGCCTCGGGCGAAATAGCCTTCAGAAGCAGGTAATTAATTAATGGTACTCCCCCTTCCCGGCATAGCTGTGCCAGAAGTAACTCATCAGTGTCTTGTTCAGACCGCTGGTCAGAGGCTTCAGGAGCGATTGGCTCATGCGAAGCACCCGGGGATTGAGCAGGAGGGTCGCGAGGTGGAGGGGCAGAGCTAGGTCCGGGAACCTGTTGCTTCTGCTTGGACTGGCGAGGTATGCGAGACGTCTTAGATTTTTCGCCAACTAAATCCTTCCACTTCTTGTCTGACTCAATCTCGCGATAGGTTTCTACGGGATTCCGCGATTCACCGTAGATGTTACCCGGGCGAGTTACTGGTTTCCTTTCTCTCACCGGTCTCCGCGGCTCATCTTGTGGCGCAGGATCCCCCGGAGGTGGAGAAGGCGGGTTCTCAGGCTCTCGCGCCTCAGGCTGCGCAGGTTCGTCGTCACGATCCTGGCCTGGCCCCTTTTGGGATTTAGGAGGAGGACGTGAGTCTGGCTCATCGTCATCGGTGATCCAGTCATCATCAGAATTTTCTGGTTGACTGTCAGCTGGTTTAGGCGCACTCTGCAGCCTAGTGCTTGCCCGTCGCTTTGTATTAGGGCATTTAGGGAACATAGTTTCGTCAAACAGCGCAGTAGGCTGAGTGACTATACTATTATTGGCGCGCATGAACTTGAAGCCATGGCCGCCATCTGCGACACCAATGTAAGTCATCAGCTCAGCTTTAGGCGATAACTTATTGGGTCTGGTTTCCTTAGGCAGGTAGACATACGCTCCGCATCCAAAGACACGTAAGTGCTTGATGTCAGGAGCTTCCTTGTTCAGGACCTCATAAGGAGTCAGCCATTGATGGCGCTTCAAAGGGGTCCGATTGTAGACGTGAACGGCATGGTCTACCGCAAATTCCCACCAAGATGGAGGTGAGCAGGACTCTAGCCGCATTGACTGCGCTTTGTCCATTATAGTCCGAATAAAGCGCTCAGCGCGACCATTCTGTTGGTGTGCATAAGGTGCGCTTTGTCGGATTTTTATGCCCTCATCTCTGAGCATCTCGATGAATGCGTCAGATTTATACTCTCCCCCTGCATCGGACATCCACTCCTTAATTTTCCTGCCATATTGATTTTGAACGTAGGCTAGGAATTGACGAGTCTTAGCAATTGCAGCACCCTTGGAGCGCATATGCATGACCCATCCATAGGAGGTATAATCGTCAAAGAAGACAATCGTGTACCGATACTTATGGTAGGAGTCTACGGGAAAAGACTTAAGATCCGAGTGAATTAATTCAAACGGTTCTTTAGCCCGTAGAGTGGATGGCGGGAAAGCCTTAGAAGGCATTTTGCCTTCCGCGCATCCAGGGCATACTGGGTCTTCCGAAGGAAACTCCAGATTGGTGGGGAAACCCTTAGTGTGTTCCCTAGCTTGCCTCAGGACTTCCTTAGAGGGGTGTCCCATGCGACGGTGCATAATCCCATAATCGACCGCATAGATCGTTGGGAATATAGAGTACGCATCCGGTGCAGGAATTGTACTGACACTATAGATAGTGTCGCCAGGCTGCCGCGGTAAAAACCTGAATAAAGGTTCGCGCAATCCCTTTTCGTATAGACTTATGTGTTGGTCATTGCCAGACACTTTTAACTTATCCTGGAGCAATACTCCGAGTGACATGAGGCGAATATTCAGGTCAGGTATATAGTATACTGGAAATAACCGAGTGGTTATGTTCCCGACGTCCTTGATATAATAATTCAGGACCGTCGTACCAAACCCAAGTATTCGTGCAAACCCGTTCGCGGTAGACGCGGTCGCAGGTTGCTTAAATTCCTCATAATCGATGAAATCACTCATGTCATAGGTGAAATGCCGAGAGGCCCCCGAGTCGAGGATCCAGGTGTTACCCTGTTGTGCCTTATCTTTCCCCTTACATTTTGCACACGCAGCATAAGTTTGCGCATGAGTGCAATATATTAATGCCAACGTTACAGGACTCAAATTTAGATCTACACTACGCTGCCCTAACTGTGATGGCGCGTCAGTGGAGTCCTGTAAAGGGGAAGATGGCACGTACGAGTAGTGCTCGTCAATAAAGGCATTCTGGTCAAAACCAGCAGCCTCCGCAATAGTGCGGTCCAGGTCTTCCTCGTCGCCGAGACTAACAGTCTCCCCCTGGTCCTTGTCACTACCCCAGTCGATGGACTGGTTGTCATCGTGATCGCTGTCCGCAGCGTCATCCGCGCGAGCGACTCCTTCAAAGCGAGCGCGCTTGGATGCGCGGCTGGAGGCGACAGAGTCGGCATCCTCCATGTCGATATCCGGGTCCGGGTCGACTTGCCCGACCAGAGCGTCCAAGACCTTGATGTCTTCTTCAGTGGGGCTTATATCGAGGTCCCGCGCGAGCTTGAAGGCTTTCTTGACACGCTTGTTGTTGTAGTGACTGGTATCCGCCGAAGGAGGCGGGTGGAACGGACCTTTCTCTTTGACCGTCCGAGTCTTGCTGCCAGTAGGCGCGATGTCGAGGACGTGAGCGATGGTCGGAGGAGGAAGGGAGACGGTCGAGGCGATCAAGACGTCGTGGGCATGGTGGTGATCGTGGTTTTGCCCTTGACGCTTCTTGCCTGCACGCTTGCCGCGATAAGGGCGCCTCTTCCCATCTCGCGCATTGCTGCTGCTGCCCTGAGGGCGCTGCTGCTGCTGCGAAGAAAAGGAGGGATCGCCCGGCTTACGCTTCACCGCCGAGATCTTGTGCGCACCGAGTTTCTCAGGCTTCTTGCCTTGAGACTGGTCCCAAGCAGTGGTAACTGCTTCCCGTACCGCACCTATGCCCATGTTGTCAGCAGAGGTAGCTTGGACCAGCATCTGCGCAATGTTCTCATAGCGGCTGGGGAGTGCATAAAGGCAGATTAGACCTTCAATAAGCGCGGGAATCTTGACCTTGGCTGCTTCCAAAGTGTCGAAATGTTTGGATATCTTCGCGAAGGCTGGAGCAGGGTGCTGATCGGCCGGAATCTTCGTCGATAAGGCCCCCCGCAGCTCATTGTAAATGGTGCCGAGGGACATAGACGAATAGAGGGAAGACAATTCGG